ATGGTTGAGGCATGAGAGGGATTAGTCCACCCATGAGCTATGAACTCTCCTTTCCTCCTAGTCAATTGTGGACCCTTGGACCAAAGATTTGCATGACACCATCATAATAGTCGCATGTAGATTTTTATGATAGTGTGACAACCTCGGGTTACCAGTGGACACTAGGCATGAGTTTTACACAGATTCGAGCCCTCACGCTAAAAGTAACAAATCATTTTCATGCTTATATGGGATTATACACAGAGGGGTTGCAATGGAAACGTACAAAGGAGTGTTAGGCGAGTTGGATGTCAAGTTGCCCTGTTTGGAGATTGTAGCGACCCGACCTCAAATGGTCAGGTCTCTATGCTTCAGTGTCATCCCTGGATTGGTACTGCTGACACACAGAGTACTCGAAGGATTTATAACAGAGTAGCAATCACACACTTATTACATCGAATGTCTCCAAAAGAGAACTTATTATAATAAATATGGCCTAAGGCCATCTAATACGATAACAGCGAAAGGCTTGGAAGATAAAGTGAGTCCATCAACTCCAACGACATAGCTGAGCAGCACGGCAACGACCTAGCGAACCTTACTCCTCGTCTGAAAAGTCTGCAACGTGATATGTTGCAGCCCAAAAACGGGTTAGCACATGAAATATGCTGGCAATGTAACACAGTAGAGCAATGAACAGAAATAATACTAACACTATATGCATATTTGGCTGGTGGAGGCTGTATGGGTATAATGTTTTTGCGAAAAGCCAAAAAATTTCCTACAACAAAGGAATAAGTTTTATTTCAACTATCATGGTACTTGAAACATCATTGAGAAGGTTCCTCCAACTCAATCCCAATTAAAGTAGTTCATTAACCCAACAAATTAATTTAGAGTGATGAGATACAATAGGAAAATCCAAGTACTAGATACTCAAGATGTCCATAACCGGGGACACGGCTAACCATGATTAGATTGTACACTCTGCAGAGGTTTGTGCACTTTTTCCCACAAGACTCGATCTCCTCCGTTGGATTTCTCGCACTACATGATGTTTGAGAAACGGATGATCGAGACACAGTCTTTCAGAAGCATTTACTCTTTACTCTGGATGGACAGTTACACCTAATTTCCCTCTACATCTGCTAGCCCACCACTGAAAGAGGTCACACAACTTACTCATACTATGCCAGAGCCCATAATGGCTTGTGGCTGCACATGGAAGTTTCTAGCATGAATAATCTTAAGATCCCTTTGAGCCTGGGTGGCGGACCGTAGGATGATCACACGGGTACTCCGGGATATCCTAGGACAACACTGGATTCTCCAGTTGCCCAAACAAGCAATCCATCCAGATGTGTATTAAAGGTGCCACCTTAAGTTGAACCATTAATTATCAATCTCACATCTGTCATGGATACACTCAAACCCAATCCACGTCTACGAGCATAGCATAGCAATATAAGCAACGTAGAGGTAACTCCTGAGGGTTTGATAATAAAACAGGTAATAGGTTCTACCTCATCATCTACTTCCCAAACCCACAAGTCAATCACATCCTAATCATGCAGTGTTTGAGGATTGGAACTAATGCATAAAAACTGGGTAATAAAGGGGTACGATCAAAGTGTTACTTGCCTTGCTGATGATCCGTGAAACCTAGAGACTCGTAGTAGCACGCTTCGCACTCCGGGTGTTCTATCGCAGACAAACAATAGCATACATAAGCAATCAAACAAAGATGCACGGGTAAAACTCAAATAAGAGATCTAACCAGAAAGTTCAACTTAAGAACTCCAGTTTGCAAAAAGAATCAAATCAAAGGGAGCAACGAAACACAAACTGCGAAAGAAACGAGATCCGATTACTAATCTGGACTAAAGTCAAATTTTACAGTACCAAAATCTTGTTCAAGTTGATTAAACGGAAAGAGGGCTTCGAGACGAAGATCTAGGCGCTTGAATCGCCTGATTCCTATAAACGAGCGAAAAAAAAAACTAAAAAAAATCGCATCAGAAATCGCGATCGAAAATAATCGCGAAAAACCTGAGAAAAACAAAAACGGACGAACAGGCTAACGAACGAACGTTCGTTGTCTGTGACTAACGGGCGAAAACCGTTCGTTAAAACGAACGTACGGACGAACGTCCGCTGAATAAACTAAACCGAGAAAACCATCGAATCGATCTAAAAACGTAACTAGGGTTTTTTTAAAAAAAAACAACGGTTTTTACCTAAACCGAAAAAACCGAACGGCGAGATTCGAACTCCGGCGCGGCTCCGACGGCTTCCGGCGAGCGGGCGACGGCGGGGTGCAGCGCGGGGCGGCGGAGGGCGGCGCGGCAGGGGCTTGGCGGCGACGCAACAGTAGGCGGCGTGCGGCGGCGGCGCGAGGCGGCGGGTGGCGGGGCTGGCGGCTGGCGGCGGCGACTTGGGGCTCCAAGGGGGCCCCGGGTCCGGCTTTCAAAGGGGGAGGGGCGGCGGCTTGTGGCTCGGACTCCCTCGAGGAGTCCGGCTCGGAGACGACGGCGGCGCGGGGCTGGCTGGGCCAGCTGAGCCGCGGCCCAGTTCGATCCGGTGGGATTCCTCTTTTTTTTAACATAGTCCGCCGAAAAGAAATCCTTGAAAAAAAATTAAAAAAATCTAAAAATACCAAAACAAATTTTCACCATCTAAATAGAATATTTAGAACAAGGTGAACATTTTCTTGGCCTAAAATGCAATTTTTAAAAAATGCATATTTTTTCCTATGCAAATAAAAATAGCAATAAAATCCGAATAAAGTCAAAAGTTGATTTTAATATTTTTCCTCCAATATTTCGTTTATTTTGGAGAAGTCATATTATCTCCTCTCATATATTTTAATATGAAATATTTTCGGAGAGAAAAATAATAAAACAAATGATCCTTGTTTCGATATTTGATAAAATTCAAATATGAAAACCATGAAATCCCCAACTCTCTTCGAGTGTCCTTAAGTTGCTTAGAATTTTAAGGATCGCGAAACAAAATGCAAATAAAATATGATAGAGATGGACGGTTTCGGCTTTATGTCTAGATTGAATCTACTATAATCTAGGGCTTCTAGAGATCTTTGTCCGACTGAAGATGGTGCTCTGTCTTGAGGGCACAAATTTATATAATAGTGTTGGTCAGTGGCTTCCTTCCCTCCATCTTGGTCATCTTGCACGTATGTCCTGGACTCCTCCATTTCTGGTAGTAATATGACTCCTTTTAGGAAAATCAGGGGTGGCACATTTAAAGGAGTCAATGGCCCAGGCATGTCCCCCTGTATCGTACATGGGCAATTACGGCACAAAACATAGTACGTGCGGCACAAGAACATAATGAAAGCCACTTCCCCTTGACACATTGTAACGAGTGGTCACCTAAGGAGGGGATGTGGAATGTGGAAGAAGACTGAAGGAACCGCCAGCATCTAAAGAAAGCGATGATTTTGATGGTGACCTACTTACCATATCAAACAAGCAATCCGATGAAGCATGGATTTTGGATACACTAAGCTCTTATCATGTCACACCTAAACAAAAGAGTGCTTAATTTCCTACAAGTTTGGTGATCTTAGAGATGTCTATCAAGACGACGATGTGCCATGGTGCATTGGAGATATCAAGATCGAGATCAAAGACGGTGTTGAACATGTGCTCAATAATGTTAGAGATGTGCGAAAGGCTCGGAGGAATCTAAGTTCGCTTGACAAACTCCATGGAAATGGTTATGTCCAAAGGTGGACAGGGACAAGAAGACCATGAGGATCAAGAAGGACAAGAAGCTTGTGGATGGGAAAGAGGACCGAGAACAACCTGTACAAGGTGCGAACAACCATCGTTGAGAGTTGAGGAGAAGCCAAGTGTGGTGATATATTATCAATCAAGGGATTGGCGGCCGGCTCATGTGAGTGAGCAAACAAGAGAAGACCGAGTCTAACCATGCATGTGTTTTCAAGCAAAATGGTGATTTCAAGATGGCAAAGGACATATTCGCTAGGATGCAGTTTGTTGAATGAGTGTATAGATCTACTATAAGACTTGGTGTATGTGGAGAGTTAAGTGTTTGGGTCAAATACGTGTAGTCCATAAGATGTTACGGGATAGGCAAAATGGCTAGACGAAGATGGTAAACTAGATACAAGATCTAGAAGGAACCATGGTAGGATGGTCGAGATGCACCTGGTCTTAGCGGGGCTTTGGTTGATCCGTACTATAACGATTTAGTACATGAAAGTAGCGCTAATAGCCATGTCTTGGGATAAACAATGTTCAATGAACCTCATTAATAAGTAGTATATTCTCTTTATCTATTTTTGCAAGGGTGTGGCTAGGTCTACGTCGACTGAGACCAAGTCTCAGTCAAGTGATATACTCCCTCCGTTTCAATTTACTTGTCGCAGGTATGGATGTATCTAGATGTATTTTAGTTCTAGATACATCCATTTCTGTGACGAGTAATTTGAAACGAAGAGAGTAGTATGTAAGAAGAAAAAAAACTGGAAAAATTTTACTTTTTATGAATCTTCATGCAAAATCAAAAAAAGATAGCATCGGTTGAGACATAATGAAGCCTCAGTCAATTGAGACTTACCAAAACTGTTTTTGCAATGATTTGATCACGTAAAATCTAGACCGGAGGACAGCGAAAGGAGACGGTCGCTGTTCAGTGCATTCCCATCGCATACACCTATTAGACACATGCATTATGCTTAATCTGTCTTTGGTGGCCAACAATCATTGACTAACTTCTTCTTAGCTTTGCAAGAGAACGCGCGAAAAGAGCATCATGAAAGTAATATCGTACGAGCCGAATCCAAACAACGCGAATGTTCATCTCATCGTGTCATACCACCCAACTATTCCCCCTTTCAACATACACCTACGAGAAGGGAACCGGATTCTCCTCCCTCCAATCAGGCGGTGCAAAGAGCTAATGGAAGTACGGCGCGATGGAGAACCTCATTCCTCGCCGGCCGGCCCGCCGACTTCAAGCGCTCAGGGTGGGAGTCAGACGATGGCGCAGGCGTTGGGGTTCTCCTCGCTGAAGATGGTGGTGAGGCGGTTGGCGTCGGTGGCCATGCTGTAGATGCCCTCGCGCACCGGCGTCGGGTAGCTGTACCGGTACTCGCCGGAGAAGTACTCGTGCCGCCTCGGCGTCGCCTCCCACCTCGGCAGCGGCGATGGCGTGTACCTCAGGTACCCCGGCGGCCCGCGGCCCTGCTGGCCGTGGTGTCCCGGCGCGCCGCTGCCCGGGTTGCCGTTCGGCGCGTGCTCCGGCTGCTGTTCTTGTTGCTGCTGTTGCTCCTGGTGTTCTTGCTGCTGCTGCTGCGACGGTGGTGGTGGTGGCTCGGGGCCGAACCGGACGCGGCGCGGCGGCTTCTTCTTGCCTCGCTTCGGCTGCCTCGGCTGCTGCTCGGGCGGCGGCGCGCCTTCCTCCGGCGCGGGCGCGGGCTGCTCGGGTTGCGGCTGGGGCTCGTGCTGGGGTGGTGGCGCTTGCGATTGGGGTGGCGGTGCTTGGGGCTGGGGCTCTGGGTGTTGCTGCTGCTGCTGCGGTGGCGGGGGGTTTGGCGGGATCATGTTCACGGAGTTGGTGCCGCTGAAGGTGACGGTGCGCGCCACGGGTCGCATGTAGAGCGTCTCTGGGTGTGGGCCGGGAGGGTAGGCCATGGCGTAGTCCATCCTCTGGTCCTCCATCCATCGCTCGCGCCCTGCATATGTCGCCCGAGCTCACAAATATCAGCTGGCTGCTTTGTTTGTGTGACAAACGTTGGAGTTCTGAGACTACACGATATATGATCACGTGACATGAGTTAAACAATAAGGCCGGCCATCCCAAATCTTTCTGCTCCAGACAATATGTTTACGCCAGTTTGTGGCTGTGCCATGTGATGTACCCTACCTTTGTTCTCATTTTATCTTCTTCTTCTATCAATGAAAAGACATACAAACTTTGCGTATTCGTGAAAAAAAATGAGTCAAACAATAAGGAATGCTACTAACAAAGCTCAGCTATCATGGTACAGAAACTTATGCAAAGAAAAAGTTAACGGCGGAAGCAGAACTGAATTGTAGCGACTGGAACAACCTATCCTGAGAAATACAGAGGTCTCTAGCACTGGTGCATAACGATACTCTGCCAGAAAGATCAGCGCAGAAGGCCAAAGCTGCTCGAGAATGGTCCGAGAGAAGAAAGACATCCGTGAACCAAGCGCGAGCTCTCAAGACCTAGGACTATCTATCAGCAACCATCAGAGAAGACGCATCATACCGTTGCACTTCCCAAGCGCTTTGGAGACGATCACGCGCAGGGGATAGCAACCCATCTCCCTCCCTCCCTCCCTAACTCGCACGGTGCTGGCCTTGCTGTTGCTGTTGCGGCTGGCTCGCGTGTGCCCCTCGCGCGGGATACATGCTCCTCCTTCAGTTCGCGGCAACGAAATGGAACCAGCGAGCCATTTAAAGAAGAAGAAGAAGAGACGCCCCTGAATAATTGTTCGGTTGGTGCTAGTGCTACCGTGCGAGCGCTCGAAAGAAAGAAGGAATCCGGCAACAAGGAGCGCCTACCTAAGCGGTCCTTTCCCTCTCGGCGGAAGGCATCCACCGGAGTGGCACAGAACAGAACGCATCTAAAGGGACGGCCCTCGTTTTCGCGGGTAATTGTTAGACCCGGAGCCGACTGGTAGTAGTGGTGGCGGAATATATTCCTCCGGAGATATGCGCTCCAGAGGAGAGGAAATTAGTACAACGTACGTCTGGGTTTATATAGGAGATCGTTAGATTAATGATAAAGGTGCATGCGCATGGTTTACATTTGTCAACACGATGCACAAAAGGGACACGATGACTATGAGCTTGTTTCGATGCTTCGGCTGCTCTCTTCTGCCTTCTTGCTTGCGTGTTGATTTGCCTGAATTTACGCAGGTGTGAAGGGATTCCTACTTTCTCAAGACGGATAGCGGCTTTGATTTGGATATGCTCAAGGCTTTTGAGGATCGGGTTTAGGAATATCGTGCTACCCATCTAAAGTGCCCATGCACTGTGCGACGAACTCGACATCAGTGGCACAAGGTCCAAATCTCAAAGGAAGCTTCACATACAGAATAGATTGGTCCAAAAACTGAATGACCGAGTATCAGCTCCACCCGGAAAGGAGCTGCAAACTATGTGCTCTGCGGAAAAATAGTTTAGACGAGAGCTAAATCGCTAAATGGTTTATTGCTTCTACTACAGGAGAATAACAAATATATCCAATAGGTACAGAAAGGACACACCCGGCAGTCCAATTATCCACAGGCAATGAAATCCATATGTCATCTATGAATTACACTATATATCCTCCTAGTGCCCACCCTGATTCTAGCTCACCGGCATGACAAGCATTTCAGAGTTCCTCACCTCTCCATGCTTGGCCTTCCTAGAGAAGGCCTAGGCCCGCTGAAAATATCACAACAAAGCAGAATAAATCAAGCCCCGGTTGGCTGCAACGCCTTTATTGTTCTCCTCTTCCATGTGTCGGACTCCGGTTCAAAAGTGAGCTCCCAGGTCGGCCAGTAGTGAAGGTCCTGCTTCAGAGTGAGCACACGTGGTTTTCCGTTCAAGTGGACAGTCTTCACCCTAACAAACTCACGGTCTTCCAATCCCTGAGGAAAATATTATTCCAGCCATATTAACTCGAATCAAATGAAATGTGAACCATGTTCACCATCAATACAAAATGTAGACTGGAATATACCAAAAGAAGACTGCTATTGACAATGCATACCTTCACCACTTCAATAAAGGACTCAAGATCTGGGGTTGGTTGCCCGTTAACTTCAACTATCCACTGGAGAGCATAAAGACCATATCTATGTACGGGACTTCCATGGCACCATCTGCATAACAAACTTGCTGCTTAATCCTAAACCCTTATAAACTGCACGCCTGACATCTATATAATTATGTAAAAATTATACTCATATTATAGGTACCCTGCCTTGCTAATCGCAACGGAAGGAGGACAGATGGATTCAGACCAAGTGTGGGCTTGAACTATGCCTAGCATTTAGAGGTAGCACCACCCAAGCAGTATCGAAAAGTATGCAGATAAGAAATTCGTTACAGGATGAGATTTCGCAAGATATGCTGATATCGGGAGAAACCACAATCTATTTCCATTGATATAGATGAACTCACGAAACATGCCACAAGAGGAAAAAGGCATCCATTGATCACTATTCTCTCTTTCTTATTTTCATTAAATCCATTACTCGGTTCACATATTTGCCTAACAAAACTACAGTTCCTATGGGTCGCATTCTTGTATTAATTGGCACGTCACGTTTCTAATTCCATGTGAAGTCGTATACAGCCAGAGAGCAGAACGACTTGAAAACTGTGTTGAAGTGAAAAATAGCACTCCCTTGAGCAAATCATTGCTAATCTATTCAAATCTGATCACTTAAAAACCTATAGTGGCTGCTACAGGTTTATAACTGCAACTAAATACTCAAGTCAAAACTCCTAAATGTGGTTAGTACACCAAAACAACTGAAAAATAGCACTCCCTTGAGCAAATTATTGCTAGTGATCCAAATCTCTTTGATTCGCGGGATTTCAGAAACACAGGAATGGGAAAAATATAGGATTGGAATGTCATGCTCATCTCAATCCTACAAGATTTTGGTTTGTTTGATTGCATCATAGGAAAAACAAAGGATTCTATCAAAGAGGTTTGAGTGGATGCTAGAAATCTGATGGGAAGTAGTACAAAGAAATCCTTAGGAAAAATTCCTGCAGGATTCAATCCTATGAATCAAACAACCAACATAGGAAAAAATTCTATGGATTCTAATCCTCCAAAATTCCTACGAAAATACTTTGAGGGCTCCTTTGATTCAAAGGAATTGCATAGGATTTTTGGAGGATTTGAACCCTTAGGAATTTTTCCTGTGATGCTCGTTTGATTCGTAGGATTGGCATCCTTTGGAATTTTTCCATAGGATCCATTTGTACTACATTTTGGAGGAAAATTTCCATCCACTCAAACCTCTTTGTAGAATTCCTTTGTTTCCTGCGCTATCAAACATTCTTTCAAATCCTGTAGGATAATATGGGACATGCCCTGCATTTTTCCAATTCCTTCATTTTGACAATCCTGCGAATCAAAGAGGCCCTCAACCTATAGTGGCTGCTACATGCTTATAACTCCGAAAAAATTGCCCTCTTGGGAGCATGGAATAAATTTACACCAGTAGATACTTTACACCTGTAATATACATGTCACAAGTAATCTGGTGGAACACAGACGTATTTCCATTCCCCTTCCGGCTGCTCTTTGGAAAGATTGCATACAGGTGTAATTCCAGTCCCTTCCATGCCTGGCTGGACCGAAATATCAGCAGGCAACAACGACTAACCTCGCATCGCTGAAACCCTAGGTCAATGTCATGGATGGCAGGGAAGCACAAAAGGGGGGTGGGCGAGGGAACTCGGGATCGGGGCACCTCTCTCTCTCACTCTCGGTTCTCGCCGACGGAAAGAAAATGTGACCTCCCATGCTCTGTAATGTTTTCGGGTGTAATGGACCGAAACCGGGGGAGAAAAAAAAACTGAAACGGCGAACCAAGCGCGTTTCTGGGCTCTGTAAAATATTCCGGTTTTGAGTCCCAATCCGGTGCACCAAGCGTAGCCTAAATGTGTTAGTACACCAAAACAACTGAAAAAATGCACTCAAGCAAATTAATGCTAGTCACTCAAATCCGATCACTTTAAAGTTTAAACCTATAGTGGCTGCTACAGGCTTATTATAACTTTTAACTAAATACTGTGGTCAAAACTCATCAGAGTTGGTGCTAATATTTGCGCATAAATATTTGTTAAAAAAAAACATGTTCCTCACCTAGCAACATAAACTCCATGACCTTCCTTGGGCAAGAAACCAAGTGCACGCACTGCTGAATGAGGATCCTGAATTATGGATCCACACCAATTCACCATCCTTGTTGAACCATTACCATCTCTTACATCGGTTCCAACAATAAGGTCAATTTCTTTTCCCTGCATGAAACAGTTGTAATAATGATATATATAGATATTCTAGATTCATATTGTAACTGTACAAAAAAAAGGTAATAAACCTTCCTCACCTGACGAAATATTGTCATGTTAAGCACGCCATCTGAATCGATAGATTGGTCCAACTTTTGGCAAGCATTCTCGATGTCAAGAAAGCATGTTATTGGTTCCTTGTTGATAGCCAGAATCATATCTCCCTGTTCCAGAAGCTTTTCCGCCTTTGATCCAGCCAAACAACCTTTGACCCGCAAGACTTGTCTGCGCACAGGGTCCTTCTTAGCGAGAGCCTACAAAGATAATCAAATAGAACAATAAATGTCTCAATTGATATACTCGCACAATATTCAGGCCCAGAAGCCAGAGAGGAACGATATAATCACGTTTGCCAGGTCAGGAAAAACAATTTTGGGCGAGATTAAGTGAAACATTAAGCTAATTACCTGCACCCAGTTATCGCTCAATCCATAGCTTCTTGCTTTCGAGAGCAAAGTTGGATAAAGTTCCACCTCCAGAAGTCTGACAAGTGGCATTGGCCTTCGAATTCCATTGATAAGACGAAATGGTCCAGGAGTACCCGAGATTATCTTCTCAAGGACTTGACTTATTGCATATATTGGTATACCTCTAACGAACTGATGGTCCTCTGAACTGCTACAACCATATTTGAGCTGGAGAGAAAAAATTAGGTTGTTAATTACACCGTCAAGTACATGAGAGGTAACAACTAGGGACAGTACCATTACATGGTTTTTTACAAGCATTAGGACTACAGGTTATGACTCATGATGTCAGGCAAAAGGCTAAGAAAATCGGCTGCTTTACTTAATACAGTATAACATTTAGATTCTTAAACGCAATTTAGGATCATTACATACTGAATATGTATTTTTATTCCATTGCCCATTTACTTGATGTTGGAGATATCAAGCGGCTAACCTTGGGCGTAAGCTGCCGTTTTGTGCTTTTCTTTTTTCTTTTGATCTTTTCAAGAAATGCTCCTGAGAACATGGGAGCGTCATTACTTACAAAAACAGACCAAGGTTAACAACTCCCAACGCAAACTAACCTGGGTGGAAAAGCTTGCCCATAACGCTTGAACTCTTCCTTGCTCATCCGTCAATATACCCGAAAATGAGCTACCGAAATCTATAAAAAAAACAGTTTTCAGTACAATTACAAACAATCAAGACATGAGATCGACGAAGGTTAGTTGAAATGTGCATAGGAAGTACCAGTATCAAGCTCAATGACCTCCATATTTATTGCACGATATCGTGGGCAGTCAGCTGAGCCAATATTAACAGCCGTGCAAGGATTAGTTATGGTTGATTTCCTTGATGTAGCCTGTAAGCTTCTACTTAGCCCAACTAGGTAGACAGAATCTCCTCGGCGCAAGGCAGGTTCTACATATACATCCAAAATGGCAAAAACAAACCGGTACAAAAAGGTTGTTAAGTCATACCAGGGGCGCTAAAATGACCAAACAATATACTTATAGGAAATAAATAGAAGGGGCGCTAAAATGACCAAACAATATACTTATAGGAAATAAATAGAAGGGGCGCTAAAATGAAACAAACCAGGAAGAAGCTTAGCAGCTCGAATAACAGATGCACCAGCTCCCAGTGCAGAAGGATCATAGGCAACCAATGCAAAATTATGAACAGGATGCAGAAAAACAACCTGAAAACCAAAATTTGGAAGCTACTATTAATTGAAATTCAATATGACATGGATTTAGTCAACAAAATGGGTGCTGAGCTCATTACCTCTGCAGGTATTTCAATGGGATATGCAGCAAAAGAGAGCATTATATCAGAGATAGATACAGCAACTGTATTCCTATCGACGGCAACCAGACCTAGGCAGTCAGAATGATATATTATCACACCGGTTCCAAAGAAATGTTGAGAATGCACTCCATCAAGCATGCATATTGGTGGCACATGCACCTATAAAATAGTAGAGGTACAGGTGAGTCAGGTTCTGAATAAGCACAAATCACAAAACAGCTGAAACCAACAATTGCTGGTTACGATGTACTGTAAAACACATAGCAGTAGTTCATTCACCAGTCCAAGAGTAAAGAGCAAAACAGTAGATATGCAAGTAAATGAGAATAAAAATGACTTGATAGTAATCAATGAGGAAACGAAAACAGGACATTTGTACAAGATACAGATTTGTCATACAGGTATAGGTGTCATTGGTTCACTATCATCAATATATTAAGATCATTTGCGGAATTTCTAAGAAAATGATGCCACTTGTTCTGAATGTTGACACCGTTGGATCAGAGAGAGAGAGGGAGTAGAGGTGGTAGAGATGATGAAGCCATAAGTAACCTTCAAAAACGAAAATAAACTACTTCCTCCGATCCACTAAAGTTGTACTAAAGCAGCATCAATTAACATGGATCGGACTATCGGAGGGAGTACTGAATATACCAAACATTGTCGTCATCAAATATTCAAATAAACTAAAACAACGAAATAAGCATAACCGTGATAGCTCCTCAAATTTTAGATTTGAGAATAGCACTCACCTCAAACATTACAAGAGCTGGCTCAATTACTTGTTCTGCCAATGAAGCATTACTTGATATTGTCCGAGCAAGGTCAGAGACTTCCACACTGGAAGGATGCCTCAATGCGCCATCTTTTATGTCATCTAAATCTCCAAAAGATGATATAGTTCCCTCAGCAGCTATCTCCTCATCCACCCGGCGCCTTTTTTTCTCAATGATGGAATCTTCGCCAGAGTGGGATCCATCTACGGCAATCTCCTCATCTGTTTGCATTTTTACGCATCCATCTGCCGTATTTTCAGACTCGTGCTGGCATTTGAGATCCATAGGACTTGATTCAGTCAAAGGTGAAATGGAATTTAAGTTTGCATCCATATGGCCGGCACGATGAGAAACTACAAAGGGAGATTCAAGCGGTATAGCCAACTTTGCATTCCACAGACCAGTTGCGTCATTTCGAGTGTACAACTGAGGAGGCGCATACCAACCGTGTTGATCAATTGTCACCAGTACAGACTGAACACATAAATAATGCGGGGGCTTAGTTGTATATAAAACTCAACATTTACTAAGGAAGGTTTATCATGATAAAGCTCCTAAGGAACATTTTTGTACCTTGTTCCGATAACGGTCAGTGTACTTTACATATTCGAGAGGCACTCGTGCTCCCCTAGACAGCTTTGAAATAACTGCAATAAGGTCATCTAAATTTTCAATATCCTCTCCCGCAAACTTTTTGATAATTGAATGGCGTGGAACCGATGCCCGAGAGAGCATGTACCTACATTGCAAGGTGTTGAATAAGTCACAGAAAAAGATGATTGCTTTGATATTAATATACATATTTGGACAAAAAAACGACTAAGAAACGCATGGTGAAAATCACTGAAACTTGAAGTAAAGTGACCCTGGAGACTTGAAAATAAGACAATTGGGAAGGTATAATCTTCAAGTAAAATGATGGAGACAAGAGGAGCAAATAAACATACGTTGCAGCTTACACTCTTTAGGAACATTGTGATATTCAGATTTAGCTGGCAAAATGGCACCTTGTTAGAATTTAAATGCAAGGCAATTCTACTAGTCTATTGCAAAGTGATGTGTCCACTGACTAAGATTGATAAAGGACTGGCTAGAATCACCACTGCAGATCAATAGTTCTTTCAGGAAATGTAATGTCAGCAATTATGGCTAGTTGTCTTACCCTGCCTCGGCAACATATACAAGACCACATTTGAAGCGGAAGTTTCTAGCCTGAAACGCAATATGAACAACATTAGTACCAGCGTGAAACTTAAACATATACTGTAACAACATACATTCATATAGTTTAATATAAGTTTGAATAGGATGATGATGTTATCATCAGTCCAATTTCGTTTACTGAACACATGTGGCCACAGTGGCGAGATTAACATTTCTAGCAGAGAAGTTAAACATGTGTCCATTCGGCGTTTGACTCAAGTGGACTAATTGTGATTTACAGATGTAATAGGGCAGAAAGCTCAACACTTCAGAAACCAAAGTGCAGCCAGTCAATAAATTAAACATTGCATAACAACTCCGCTATACTCGTATGGTTTAAGTTGTATACAAATTATGGTCTCACAAACAACATAAGCGTGAAATAAGGAATATAGTATCGCTGTCAAGAAAACTTGGCTTCAACAAGCTACTCGAGCCCAGCTACTGGAAGCACAATTCAGGCCTGGCCTGAGCTCATGCTATTCTCAATAACAGCTCGTATCATACTCTGTCCCCCCAAAAAAAAATTCAATGATAACACTAGTCCTCCGTTGTTCTAATAGTCCAAAGCCTATGTGTTAATGCTAGTTTCACCCCAACACAAGAGCCTAACAACCCATAAAGGCCCATCCCAAAAACAGAGACAGAACTCCAATCTCGCAACCCTAGCTAAACTCCAAATGTCATATCATCCACCGCGACAGAAAGCCTTCCGCCGCCGCCCAACTCAGCTCCAGCCACTGCCTCCTCCCACTACTTCGAACACCTTCCGCCACCACCATAGAATACGTCTCCAAGCGTCGGCAGGTGCCTTGAATCCAGTGCCAACCTCCTCTTCCGGCAATATTCTGGGAATGTGAGCTTTTTCACATGGTTTGGATGTGTTGCGATTAATAGCGTGTTGAGCCTTTGAGAACACAAGTTTCCTGTTTGGTTATTCATTAGATCATACATGCAGTTTGTTTCTGAATCTCAGTTTTGTTGCTGACCTTTTTATCAAGCGGGGCATTATATTACCAAGCTTGGTCAAGCCGATCCCAAGCCTAATTGGGTAAGGATGTAAGTTCAAAGAAAAGACTCACTCAAGCTTGGTCAGGCTCGCTCGAGCTCAACTCGAACTTGAATTTTGTATATAGCTTGAGCTGAACCAACCTTGGCTCACTCAAGGTCGGCTTGTTGACAGCCCCAGAATAGATTTCACTTTTAAATTTTTATTTGCATCAACTATTCTTTGATGCACTGTACCACAAAAACAAATGTGTACTCGTTCCTTGAAAGAGCAAGGAGAGCATCAGCTTGGAAAGGAATGAGGGGAACTTACCTGCTGGTATGAAAGTGGATGGATGACAGCACCACTGACTTCCAAGAAATGATTTGGAGTTATAGAGTGCAAATCCTCAACCTGAAGAGTTACAGTGGCATAAATATGGTTGCTGATTTTATTTTAAAAAAGATAGTTGCAACAGCTGTATCGGTGTGAAAGGAAGTAAACATTAGTAGTATATACAAGTTCTTTTCTGCTGAAAATATTAAATAAGATGAGTCAAAATTAGAAATTACCTCTAACTTTACTGTCAAAGGCACTCCACCTCTTTCAATCTGCAAATTTACCTCCTTGCCGACGCTGTCATCAAGTAAAGTCTCCATTGCGAGAAACTGGGTTACAACCTGCAATTAGTTAAGTAAAATGCTTGGTGAGAACATGCTTCAGTCAGAAACTTATGAGATAATGAAAGTGCAATTAGTTTAGTAACATGCTTGGTGCAAAAATGAGTCGAAAAAGGAAAGGATAAAATGTAGTACAATCAACGATGCCACATGATATCAGGACAGGTAAAATGGAAAGGAGAAATGTGATTTCCTTGAGGTTGGGTACTAAAAAGAAACTGGAAACTTGCTTAAAACGTTCTGGATCAATATATACTGGCAACTTTTCCTAGAATTTGCAGATCGGGTACATTGTTAGACCATAAGCCTTGACCAGGATTTATTGATGCTCCCCCCATATCACAAATACATGTCGTTTTGTATATTGACAGTCTTCAAGATTTACCTGATTTACCTTCGCCCACTAATTTTTACTATAGCCTTTAGTCCCAAACAAGTTGGGGTAGGCTAGAGCTGAAACCCATAAGATATTGAAACCAACTCATGGTTGGCACGTGGATAGCTACCTTCCATGCACCCCTGTCCATGGCCAGTTCTTTGGTGATATCAGTCCTTCAGATCTGTCTTAACAGACTCCTCCCATATCAAGTTTGGTCTACCCCGACCTCTCTTATGAATATACTTTTTGAGACAAATCTAAGCATATGATTGGTAAGTTCTCAACCTAAAAATCTGAAACAGTATTTATAGACAAAGTTTGACCGAAGACATCCAAAATGACATGTATTTGTAATATGAAGGGAGTGATAAACAGCAAGATTGCAATATACATGAAATGACATCGCAGTTAATTACTGGCATGGTACAGATAACTGACAATTGTTAGATTATTGTTCGCGGATAACGTTAGGAGTATATCCTTTTGAACCAATGGTTCACAACCTAGAGTTGTTTGTGTTTTGGTACTTATGAAAAAAGAACATATCATCACAAATTCATCATGTCACATATATTATCTTCAGTTTTCAGTATTAGGTGAATAGGAATAGAGAACAGTGGGTACCAACGTTTTGCTAATTTGCTACTGCTGTCTGAAGTTATCAGGCTACAGAGTACACTAACAAATATAGCAAGCCATTTTAAAGCGATGATTACCTCCCCATTGATGTGAACTAGCACATCACCAGGTTCCAAATGTTTATGTGCAGGTCCTTCTGGCACCTGCAAGGACAGAGCTCTCCAGTTTCAGCAAGACATAGAATGGCATAATACAAGAAGCAGCAAGCCAAGTAACAATGTACAATCATGTTTAGAAGTTAGAACTAATAAAGGCAAATTACCACAGAGTCAACAACCAGCATTCCAGTTTCGCCTGCTGGAGAAACAAGGCGTACCATCTGTATAAACAAAAATGATAAGTTCCAGCACTTAATCACAGAGCATGAGGGTTAACATTCAAAAATATATTCCAATGGAAAGAAAAATGTAGATGTTTACCGATATAAACAAGTAGAAGTAGAACAACTAATATTCATAACTAGTAGCAGGTATAGATAAAGTTATGTTCATAAAATGTAAACAGATTGAACTTGATTCCAGCAATAAATTTGATGCGGGGCAGGCAGATATTTTCTAGACAATTAGCAAACCATGAACAGTGTAAATACCTGCTCTGTCTCATTCCTCAGTCCAAGACGCCGAGTTTCTTCAAATCCTTTGTGTTGAAAGGTCATCTTTAAGAAGGACAAAAAAATATAATAGGGATAATGTGAGGTCCAGACTCTAGGGCAGAGTAAAGCAACAGTGATCGATGATAAACAAAAATTACAACTAATAAAAACACCAATAGCATTTGCTAACTAGATATTTTTTTTCTTGGGCAAATTTTGCGAATTGTCATGGTTTAAAGCAGTATTTTTAGTGAGGCAGTGAGCCATAATACCAACACCGCTACACAGTGGCTTATGCAGTGCTCTGTAATTGTACAGTTGTGACATCATTGAACATTATACACTATACCATCCAGTGTGTAGCAGCACTTCAGTCCAGATACATTACAGGATTTCATACAATCCATATGTTGATCATAGAAACCTAAAGGGTGTGTTTGCTTTGAAGCTACACAATGCCATAAGTGTGGTGCCCCACGCTTTCGTGGTGAGCAAATCATCCACCATCAGTGTAAAAGTTCTGCACATAAAGAAAGTGCCAATGACAGGTGGGGCATGATGCTAAGAAATTATGATTTATGAGCACACCACAAGTGTGGCAGCAAATCAAATAACTGGCCAAAATGGTGAAACCAACCTAAGTGAGTTATTTCCAGACCAACATGCCCTTATAATTTGAATCCATACCCCAGAACACTTAATAGAAGCAAAGCATTGGTCATAATACAACATAAGCTCTTTTTTCTATTTCAGTGTTGGTTGTTCAACTTCCTATTGATAAACAAGCATGTCATGCCACTACATTTCCATTATCCTCAATACAGAACTCTAGTGCTATGCTTCTGCAACACACTATGTGAACTTCAGTTCTCGGTGTTGAACAAGAATGGTAAACAGTTATAATAGCCAATTTAGATGCTGAGTGCAAATAACAGGTAAGATATTCATTGCATTCTAAACTAGAAATATTTGTAGAGAAGGAAGAGTTGAAAAAATATAGGTCATTAAGAAAGCATTGCTTCATTTCCATGTGCCATGCTCATATGATTCAGAGTTACTTGACACTGCAGTACTGCACTAGCATACGCGCGAATTTTGTGGATCCATTCTACACTCATGTTATCCAATATATACTACAACTATAAGCAGAAAGACCAGAAGACTATTCTACACTGTTGAAGTTCTTCAAGGTTACATACAGGCAGATTTAACAAGACTACAAAGTTCACTGTTCACCATAAGTCATAAGTAGCTCTCAACTTAAACAAAATATACAATTAAAAAATGGTATCATCGGACAGCATGCACACCTGCAGTGTACCACGAGGAATATAAACAGATTCTGACTTGATACCAAATGCATCCCAACAATCACGTATCAAATTCAGTGCCCTAACAACCTGGAAATAGTTTAAACAAACAATGTTAACAAAAATAAGAGTGTCATGAATAATCAATCTTAAATAGCATGATGTGTTTTTAAGGTGTCCTGCCTTAAGGCGCCCTGGCAACGCCTTACAAATATGCCCACCTTAGGCACTTAAGCATCGCCTAGGCGCTAGAGCGGGTGGTGTCGCCTTAGGTTGCCTTACCGCCTTATAAACAATGATGTTTATAATTATATGTAACTAGACAATGTCAAACTCGCATTTGTTTCTGTTTTCTGTTCTTTTTTTGGTGAAGTGAAGTGCATCGGTCACATGACACCGTACAGTAAGCAAGACATTATTAAGGAGACTGGTGCACTCTTACGCTTCTAGCTGAGATGAAATTTTCTGTAAAGCCAACTAAATTTAGTATGTGTTAGTTTAATCACATATGGATGATTTATGAATGCCTAACACTGGTTTAACTAGCAGTATCATTTCCTTATGATTAATATATTATCCCACAATTCCGGTACATCTCAAAATAGTATGAGGAGGTAGTAATGTTACTAATGTACTAATGATACTTACACGTTCTAATGGAAGGAAAAAAGCAGAAGCACTGGAAGATTTGCTTCCAGCATTCAGGGCAACAGCTCTTCCTTGGCAATCAACAACTGGGGAACCACTAGAGCCACCTTTAGTTCCAGATGCAGCCTAAAGAAACAAACAATCACGTTAACTTATGAGCATCAACAACAAGACAATTAACATGTTGTATGGCATCAATGCAATAAAAGATCATTTCAGATGCACAAATCCAGCAATTCAATCAAACATGTACACATGTCATATTGAGTAGCTAAAGAGAAGCACCTGCATATAGAATGTGTTGAAATCATTGTACCCGTCCCTGTCAAAGAATTAAAGGTTAGAATATATACGATACATGGTGTAATAATCTTATATACTGTCTACAAGCTTGGGGTGGCTAGGAGCGTAAAGAAAATATCATAAGCCCATATCATAAACTTGTCATGCAAAAAAGTAAGGCGTACTTCTTGTAGTGAGGCGCTTCTCTATCCAGTCGAGCAAGTGTTCCCGCCAAAATTGAAACCTAAATCAAGGAAGATGAATCAGAAAAATTTACATTATGCAACACAATTTAAACAATTTCCCACAGCTAATCAGTTATTATTTCCACACGTATCCTTGTTAAGTATGAACCCCCATATCTAGGGGAATCCACATCAAATCCAGCATGCCGCATAACACAGATGTCACAATCTCAGTTGCAAACTTAATAGGACTTTGTTTCAATGCTGACATAAACAATTTGTTCCAAATTCCTTTTCTAGCTATCATCTATCATGCCAAATGTTGTCACTAGCGCTGTTTAGCGCATGTCTACTGTTTCTGTATTAACTACTCCCTCTGTTCCTAAATATAAGTCTTTTAGAGATTTCAATAAGTACTACATGCGGAGCAAAATGAGTGAATCTACACTCTAAAATATGTCTATATACATCCGTATGTAGTCCGCATTAAAATCTCTAAAATGGCTTATATTTAGAAACGGAGGGAGTAGTTGAATAAGTGCATTCCAGGTCAAGGAATATTAACAATTGCAACTACTAGTAAGCTTATGGTCTTAGTATGGAAAGGTTGGAGATTAAAAGCTCCTAATTAAGCATCACATTCATCTAACTGAAACCTAAATAGTTCTGCTGAGTTAGACACAAAGAAAGATGGTGTGCGTATCATTATTTTTCTAACATGCAAAACCCTCACAAGCATTTAATCACATTTGCTCTGTGGAATATGATTGCTAATAGCAGTAAGGAGATCGAGATTCAGGTAGGGTCACTCCTAATTTTTCAAAAGAGAACGAAACAAATGCTTATTTCATACAGTTAAGATATCATTATCTTGCTGAAATGGCATAATGTGACATTTTACTAGTGTGGTTTCAAGGAACTGTGCGCATGAATTTTGAAGTGAAAATGCTTTGTTTTACAGGATGGCAAAAGAAGAAATTAAAGGTCTGGTAGAAGCAATTAAACATGCTTCATTCCCATAATCCAACGCTGAATTCCTCGTGCAGCATCACTTTACGGGATACTACGGTTCATAAAACAGCAACCAGGGAGCGAATGAACTGGCGTATAAGGAAACCTTTTCGCCGCTGTCATTGCCGACAACTCGGATTTCTAGCCCAACAGATGCTGCTTCAGGGTCTAGAGGGATCTCCTCATACTTGAGGAACTTTATGGCACCTGGGTCATAGCGGAAAAAACCAAAATCATGTACCTGTTTTGAGAAGAGGAGGAAACTTGGATTAACAATACGCCATTGGCACAGGGTTAAACAAAATAAAACAGAACAGAATAAGAGTGGAATGGAACAAACACTAACAGGGTCTCTGTACAGGGGGTACACAGGGATCTCCTCCCGGTTCACGAACATCGCCTCCGAGACCACAGGACCTACGAGCACACAGCAACACACGAATGAATATATTACACGAGGAGGAGGAGGAGGAGGAGGAGGAGGAGGCATCGGATCGGCGGATAGGTGGAGGGAGGGGGGCGCGCACCGGGCTTGACGACGTGGCGATTGGTGAGGATGATGCCGCGGGCCTTGTCGACGACGAAGCCGGTGGCGTAGCTGGCGCCGGCAACCTCGGTGTCGAAGGCGCGCGGCGCGGTGGTGCGGAGGACGGCGACGGCGGGCACGACGCGGGAGAGCGCGCGGCGCCAGTCCTCGGCCGTGACGCTGGACTCGATCTCCATGGCCAGCTCCCCGCCGACCTCCTCCTTCACGGGGCTCTCCATCGCGGCGGCGATCTGGCTCCCCTGCCGCTGCCGCTAGGGTTTAGAGCTGCCCACGGCCAGAGAGAGAGAGGAGCTCCAGTTCCAGTTCAGAGGGAGGGAGGGAGGGATGATTTTTTATTTTTTTATCAACAAAAATCGCTCACGCGGGCGATGTGATGAGGAGGGGTGGGAATGAGATCACCGGGGGGAGGGAGGTTGGGAGTGGAGCTGGTAAACAAGGATTTTGGACTGCTCGCACGAGATTTTAGAGGGGGGGGACCACCCTGCCCTGAGTCACGCTCCCGTTGCCGTGGGTTTCTTTTTCCTCGCCTTTTTTTATCAACAACAAACTGATAGAGTTTCTTTTTCCTCGCCTTTTTTTAGTTTTTTTAGGGGTTCCTCGCCTTTTTTGAGTGGAATATTCTTTTTCCTCGCTGAGTCACTGGATCTGGATTAGGCCTTGTTCTCCTGCGATAAGTTTTTCTTTTGTTTATGTAGTAAAGAACACTGGAGATCCTATTTAATTTAGCGCCTAGGTCATGGAATAACGAGGTACCGCGCACCCTCTCTGTGCTACAGCTAAGTACGGTTGGGCCAACCCAACTAGCTCCCTTTTCGGTTCAAGACTTGGGTTTTTTTTTTGGTTTTTCCCTGGATTTTTCATTTTCGTTCTTTCTCGTATTTTTACTTTTCACTTTTTAAATTTTATCTTTTATTTTTCGGTTTATTATTTTCTTTTCCTTTTTTTTCATTTTTCTGAAATTAGGAATATTTTTCATTCGCGGTTTTTGAATTTCACAAACATTTTCAAAAGTTAAGAAAAAATTAAAAATTGTAAATATTTTTTAATTCATTAACATTTTTATAATTTTGGAGACAATTTTTAAATTTGTGAACATGTTTAAACTTTTGGAAAAAAAATGCAAACATTTCCTAATAGATGAATATTTTTTGGAAATTTGGAAATAATTTCTGAAATTTGCTAACATTTTTTTAGTTCATGAACATTTTTTGAATTCCTTATTATGTGCTTCCAAAACATACCGCTTTCAACTGAACGAACATGTGGTCCCACATGGGTGAAGCACAATTGTACTCCCACGAGGAGGCGGGGATGTATCTGGTGCTACCAGTGCACCGGTCGCCCATTGCCCATTCAAAAATGTTCTAAAATTTTTGAAGAAAAAAGTACTGCATCGACACAACATTAATGTGTGTTGTGACAAAATTTATTTTAAAATTTGGAACATTGCTCGAGATACAAAAGTCTCAAATTTGACACTAAATAGTACTCCCTCCGTCCAAAAAACCATGTCCCTCACAAGTTTGTCCCTCAAATGGATGTGTCTAGCGCTAACTTGGTGCTAGACATATCCATTTGAGGGGCAAGCTTTTTCAAACGGAGGGAGTACATAACACAAGTTGGGCTTTAGTTTCGGCCCATTAGCACATTGATGTCAAATTTTTCATTTTTGTATCTCGAGCAATATTTTGAATTTTTGTGACAACATAAATTGATGTTGTGTAAATGCACTAATTTTTTTGGATTTTTTGAACATTTTTTAATGCGCAACGGGATCCGATGCACCGGTAGCACCAATTGCCCCGGTGCACCAGATACGCTCCAACGAGGAGGCACATATGTACTCATACGTGCCCCCCTAGTGAACTAACTTGTTTTTCGCGGGGATGAAGCACACTTGTGCTTTGCCTGGAGTACACATGTGCTCTACGCAGAAGCACATGAAGAAACCAAAACACAAAAAAGCCCCAAGAAAACCTACAAAAACAAAAAAAAAGTGAAAAATAAACATTGGTGCTAGGAAAAAACTAGCGGCTCCCTAGTATTGCTCGTCTTCGACAGAAAATCCTTTTTGTCATTGATGTTAAAAATTTGCAAACGCAAATAACAGATGTGTCAGCCCAACCAGACACAATTGGAATGTGGTGACGAGCGTTTTTTCTTTTTTTATTAGAGGGCAATACATTTTATTCTCTCTTTTCTTTTGCCAGTTTTCTTCTTATTTTTTCTTTTTTCCCTCTTTACTTCACATTTTCTGAAAACACAAGAACATTTCTCTAAATTCAGCAAGGTTTTAAAATTTTGAGAACCTTTTATGAAATACACAAAAATGTAATTTTTTAAAACATTATTGTTTTTCCGAATTTTTGAATATTTATGAAAAAATACAATCTTTTTAAAAAACTACAAAGTATTTTTAATATTTCGTGAACATTGTTGAAATTCCGACAAAATTGTGAAAAATATATCAGATCATGAATATTTTTAGAACAAATAAATATTTTTTAAATCAATAAGACATTGAATTTGTGACCCATTTTAAATTTTGAAAATAAAATAAAATGTGTGACCATTTTTTATTTTGTGCACATTTTTAAATTCATGAACATGTTTTCAAATATGGCTTTCATTTTAAATAAATATGGAAAAACTAAAAAAACTGTTTAGAGACTAGAGGAGCAACACTCGGTAACACGCATGTGGGTTTGCCCACTAATTTGACACACGACGCATCAAATAGGGGGTATCGTCTTTGGTTGTCTATCCGTCGTGGCGTTTGAGATCTTTGCTTGCTAGGTGGAAGTAGGACCTTTGCAGATTCAAATAAATAAAGAAGTAGTGTGTTTACTTAGCTATGTATAAGTAGGATGAGTCTTATGTTTGTAGTTTCGTGTGTCCTTGTTGATGGTGTCGCGATTCGCGAATGTGAAGGCTATGTTGCATGGAATAAATATCTTTGTGGCATTCTTGACCTACATTTGGGAGCTAACATGTTATGTTTTCTCTTGCCTTATCCTAAGGTGATTCAACTAATGCAGACGTTCAACACCCGCCCTTGTGAGGGTTGTGTCACCGAGCACAACTTGTTTAATGGCCTAAGCTTCTCATATCCTCTTGTAGATTACAGATGCGGTTATCCGGAGACTTTGATTACTCCACCTTATGCAGATTGCTAGTTTCTCTGCAAGAGGCATGGGAGGACATCATGACGTGCATTGGTAGAAAATCACTTGATGTTACCTTCAAGTTTTCAATGGTTTTTTGTTTGATGTTTTTGTTTTCTTTTCTCTAGTATTGTAGTTTTTTTAATATGCAATTTGGCTTGTTAGGGGATCTACATATAAATTTTGGTCTTCTTTAAAATATGCAATTTGATTTTTTTATTGGCATTTGATTTCAGAGGTGTTATTTTTCTCTCTCACTCTCTCCCCTAAGAAAACCAGAAAAATGTGGCTCGTTTCTCTCTGCCTCTCCTCCTATCCCTTGAGTCCATAGAACGAACATCTTCCCTAAAAAAAGTACCACGAACATCAAAGAGGTTGTCAACAAGAACAAGGCTCAAACTTCATGGAAGGCAAAGGAGTTGGCGAATGGGATGACAACACCATTGATTATTGTAATCACCAAAAGTACTAATCCTGAGACAATGGATGCACCGCCCATATTGACATGATTCATCACCTAAGGAATATTAGTGATGGGTTTATATAAAGTAGGTTTTTAGCAGATTTTTAGCAAAACCCGTTTTACCAACTGTTTTGTGAAAAATCAGTTTATGAAAAATCTTGTTTGGGTTAGAAAATGATGAAACTAGTACGTCTTGTTTCCTGCTTGTACAATGATTCAGCTTTATTCTCTTGTGAACTACAATCATGAACTTTTACCCCGATCGAGCACCAACGGAGTTTCTCAAGCTGCAGTTCCTGATATTTGACACTTCCTACTGCCATCTCGCGCGTCCCTGGATGTCGCTTCCTCTTCGACTTCTCTTTGCGTACAACGGCAAGGCCACACAAATGCATGCCTTCTTCTACTCCACCGTGCTGCTCTGCCTCCACGAGCGCCTCGACGGCAAGTAAGCAGGTTGCTTTGTCCACACTGGTACGCAGGCTATCAGCGAGCATGATGTTCGTGGCCATCACGTACACATCCAGAGAGCGCAAGTTCAGGGCAGCGACCAGCAATAGGAAGCTGCTGAGGTGGCCAGGGAGGACAGCGTGGGAACAGCTGAAGAAGCATCGGATGTACACCCGCCGTCCCTTGACGCCGGTCGTCCAGACTGCAAACAGAGTGGATGTACGTCCAGGCTGCAAATAGACCGTCGAGGAGCTGGCTGTTGGGGAACGTAGTAATTTCAAAAAAAACTACGCACACGCAAGATCATGGTGATGCATAGCAACGAGAGGGGAAAGTGTCGTCCACGTACCCTCGTAGACCATAAGCGGAAGCGTTATGAGAACGCGGTTGATGTAGTCGTACGTCTTTACGATCCGATCGATCCAAGTACCGAACACACGGCACCTCCAAGTTCAGCACATGTTCAGCTCGGTGACGTCCCACGAACTCCGATCCAGCAGAGTTTCGAGGGAGAGTTCCGTCAGCACGACGGCGTGATGACGGTGATGATGATGCTACAAATGCAGGGCTTCGCCTAAGCACCGCTACGATATGTCCGAGGTGGATTATGATGGAGGGGGGCACCGCACACGGCTAAAACATCAACTGATCAACTTGTGTGTCCATGGGGTGCCCCCCTCCCCCGTATATAAAGGAGTGGAGGAGGGGGAGGGCCGGCCCTCTATTATGGCGCGCCCTGGGGGAGTAGGACTCCCCCCTTCCATGTAGTAGGAGTAGGAGAGAAGGAAAGGGAAAAGAGAAGAGAAGGAAGGAGGGGTGATACGTATCCGTCGTATCTACTTTTCCAAACACATTTACCCTTGTTTTGGACTCTAACTTGCATGATTTGAATGGAACTAACCCGGACTGATGTTGTTTTCAGCAGAATTGCCATGGTGTTATTTATGTGCAGAAACAAAAGTTCTTTGAATGACCTGAAACTTCACGGAACATCTTTTTGGAAATAATAAAAAATTCTTGCAAAAGATGAAGACCAGGGGGCCCACACCCTAGCCACGAGGGTGGGGGCGCCCCCTACCTCATGGGCCCTTGGAGCTCCTCCGACCTCAACTCCAACTCTATATATTTGCTTTCGGGGAGAAAATATAAAGAGAAGGATTCATCGCGTTTTACAATACGGAGCTGCCGCCAAGCCCTAAAACCTCTCGGGAGGGCTGATCTGGAGTCCGTTCGGGGCTCCGGAGAGGGGAATCCATCGCCATCGTCATCATCAACAACACTCCACCAATTTCATGATGCTCACCGCCGTGAGTGAGTAATTCCATCATAGGCTTGCTGGACGGTGATGGGTTGGATGAGATTTATCATGTAATCGAGTTAGTTTTGTTAGGGTTTGATCCCTGGTATCCACTATGTTCTGAGATTGATGTTGCTATGACTTTGCTATGCTTAATGCTTGTCAATAGGGCCCGAGTGCCATGATTTCAGATCTGAACCTATTATGTTTTCATCAATATATGAGAGTTCTTGATCCTATCTTGCAAGTCTATAGTCACCTACTATGTGTTATGATCCAGCATCCCCGAAGTGACAATAATCGGCACCACTCCCGGTGATGCCCGTAGTTTGAGGAGTTCATGTATTCACTATGTGTTAATGCTTTGGTTCGGTACTCTATTAAGAGGAGGCCTTAATATCCCTTAGTTTTCGCTAGGACCCCGCTGCCACGGGAGGGTAGGACAAAAGATGTCATGCAAGTTCTTTTCCATAAACACGTATGACTATATTCGGAATACATGCCTACATTACATTGATGAATTGGAGCTAGTTCTTTGTCACCCTAGGTTATGACTGTTACATGATGAACCGCATCCGGCATAATTCTCTATCACCGATCCATTGCCTATGAGCTTTCCATAGGGTATTTATTTCCCCTAGCTTAACCATGTGCGGGGTCTGAGCTCCCATGCCTTTGACAGGACTTGGTGGAGACATCGGAGCAGATTAACTGTCCGGCCCCTCTGCCCGAAGACCCTGCAGACGCTCTCCTGACGGAGATGCGGACGGCTCCTTATGAGGTGCCGGAGAAGACCAAGAAGAAGGCCACGGGAACCCGAAAGAGTTCCCGGCGCCAGGTGGTATCGGACACATCGTCCGATAACTCCGAGGCACACTCCTCCCATGAAAACGAGGAGAAGGAAGACGAAGATTCTCCCCCTCCAGCCGGGGGAGACAAGAAAAGGAAGGCCACCCCAACCGGGGAGGCCGAAGGGTCCAAGAAGGGAAGGACTCTCCTTCCGGACTGTTCCACCACCGCCGCTGACGGCGAAGACGAGTGGCTGCTTAGGGCCAAGCCCCTGGCGAAGTCGTAAGTATTCGGATTCCAGAGTAACTCATAGCATACTTTTGTTGCACTGCTTCTCCTAACGTCGAATATGATTATGCAGTCCGCCCCAAGCCCGTATCGACGTATCATCGTCTAACGGTTCCTTGGACTCGTCGGACGTGAATAGTGATACACTTCCAACCGCCTCCTCTACTTGCCCTACGGACAACACCGAGGTATTGTCTCAAGGGGCACCGAGCTAAGGGAAGACAGTCCCGGAGGCGCCTCAAGGCGACCTTTCGGACTCCAGGAGTAAATGGAGCAAGGCTCCCAGGGGCTCCAAGTTCGGCCCTCAGCCGAACACCGCGCCGGAACCTCCAGCGGTTCCGGACTCGGGCAGGCGGCCCTTGATAACCCACAAGTATAGGGGATCGCAACAGCTTTCGAGGGTAGAGTATTCAACCCAAATTTATTGATTCGACACAAGGGGAGCCAAAGAATATTCTCAAGTATTAGCAGCTGAGTTGTCAATTCAACCACACCTAGAAACTTAGTGTCTGCAGCAAAGTGTTTAGTAGCAAAGTAATATGATAGTGGTGGTAGCGGCAACAAAAGTAAAGACAGCAAAAGTAATGTTTTTGGTATTTTGTAGTGATTGTAATAGTAGCAGCGGGAAAGTAAATAAACATAAACCAGTATATGGAAAACTCGTCGGCACCAGATCAGTGATCGATAATTATGCCGGATGCGGTTCATCATGTAATAGTCATAACATAGGGTGACACAGAACTAGCTCCAATTCATCAATGTAATGTAGGCATGTATTCCGTATATAGTCATACGTGCTTATGGAAAAGAACTTGCATGACATCTTTTGTCCTACCCTCCCGTGGCAGCGGGGTCCTATTGGAAACTAAGGGATATTAAGGCCTCCTTTTAATAGAGAACCGGAACAAAGCATTAGCACATAGTGAATACATGAACTCCTCAAACTATGGTCATCACCAGGAGTGGTCCCGATTATTGTCACTTCGGGGTTGCCGGATCATAACACATAGTAGGTGACTATAGACTTGCAAGATAGGATTAAGAACTCACATATATTCATGAAAACATAATAGGTTCAGATCTGAAATCATGGCACTCGGGCCCTAGTGACAAGCATTAAGCATAACAAAGTCATAGCAACATCAATCTCAGAACATAATGGATACTAGGGATCAAACCCTAACAAAACTAACTCGATTACATGATAAATCTCATCCAACCCATCACCGTCCAGCAAGCCTACAATGCAATTACTCACGCATGACGGTGAGCATCATGAAATTGGTGATGGAGGATGGTTGATGATGACGACGGCGATGAATCTGTTGGGGATCGTAGCAGAAATTTAAAATTTTCTACGCATCACCAAGATCAATCTATGGAGTAATCTAGCAACGAGGGGAAGGAGAGTTCATCTACATACCCTTGTAGATCGCTAAGCGGAAGCGTTCAGGTGAATGGGGTTGATGGAGTCGTACTCGTCGTGATCCAAATCATCGATGATCCTAGCGCCGAACGGACGGCACCTCCGCGTTCAACACACATACGGAACGGAGACGTCTCCCACGCCTTGATCCAGCAAGGAGGAAGGAGAGGTTGAGGAAGAGAGTCCAACAACAGCACGACGGCGTGGTGGTGATGGAGTGGCAGTTCTCCGGCAGGGCTTCGCCAAGCTCACGCGGAGGAGGAGAGGTATTGGAGGGGAGGGGCTGCACCAGGTTCAAGGGTGTGGCCGCCCTCCCACCCCTCCACTATTTATAGGTGGGGAGAGAGGGGGCCGGCCCCCCTAGATCCCATCTAGGGTTGGGGGCGGCGGCCAAGGGGGAAGGAGTGCCTCCCAAGTCAAGTGGAGGCCCTCCCCCTTAGGGTTTCCCCTCTCCCATGCGCATGGGCCTTGGGGGGGCTGGTGCTCTTGGCCCATTAAGGTTAGGGCGCCCCCCTATAGCCCATGCTGCTGTATTGGACGTGGTGGAACATTTTCCGGACCTCCGGAACCCTCCGGAATCCTCCGGAACCTTCTGGAAGCTTCCCGGTACAATACCAGAAAAAATCAAACTTTTCCCGGAACCCGAACAACAACTTGCCATATATAAATCTTTACCTCCGGACCATTCCGGAACTCCTCGTGACGTCCGGGATCTCATCCGGGACTCCGAACAACATTCGGTAATCACATACAAGTCTTCCTAATAACCCTAGCGTCATCGAACCTTAAGTGTGTAGACCCTACGGGTTCGGGAACCATGCAGACATGACCAAGACAACTCTCCGGCCAATAACCAACAGCAGGATCTGGATACCCATGTTGGCTCCCACATGTTCCACGATGATCTCATCGGATGAACCACGATGTCGACGATTCAATCAATCCCGTATTCAATTCCCTTTGTCTAGCGGTATTGTACTTGCCCGAGATTCGATCGTCGGTATCCCGATACCTTGTTCAATCTCGTTACTGGCAAGTCTCTTTACTCGTTCCATAACACATCATCCCGTGATCAACTCCTTGGTCACATTGTGCACATTATGATGATGTCCTACCGAGTGGGCCCAGAGATACCTCTCCGTTTACACGGAGTGACAAATCCCAGTCTCGATTCGTGCCAACCCAACAGACACTTTCGGAGATACCTGTAGTGTACCTTTATAGCCACCCAGTTACGTTGTGACGTTTGGCACACCCAAAGC